ATCGTGGAGGTCACAGCCTTTGGTGGGGGTCCCAGGGGAGGAACTCCTCCTGGGATTCCACCTTTTACTGGCACTCCTGGTGCCTTACCTGTGCCTCCTGGTGTCCGATCCGTGCTGGATCCGCTTCCCGATAGATTGACGGGCACCGGCGGCGGCGGGCCCTTAGGCACATCAGCCTTGGGTGCCGCTGTGTCGTCTGAGTCTGACTCCCGGATAGCATCACTGGATGGCGGCGACCTGGATAGATGAGGACGACGCCTCACTGGTGGAGGGTTTCTTGCCTGAGCAGCTGCGAGGTCTGTTTGGGGAGCGGCTCCACCATTTGGCGAGGCTCTCTTTCGGAGTCAGAGCGGCCTATTGTCGCCTCCGTACTTGGTGCCTGATTTCAGACTCTGATAATACTCTATGGCAGAAGGAGGCACTTCGGTTGGGGTGAGAATCACGCCGTTCTTGCTACGGAAAAACTTCACCCCTGCCTGTGTGGCCTTGCGTGGGTTTACTGCCACCAACATGGACGAGCTTTCTCTGAAACCAGAGACGCCTGGTTTCCCATAGTCGCTGTCCGAAACGAAATGGATATGCTGCCGACCCTCCCTGCCACGTCCGCCTTTGCCACGGCCCTTGGAGATCTTGTTCTGCGGCAGAAGGCCTCGTTGACGGATTGGGTCGTACAAAGACCAGAATGTACCATGGTAGAGCATTCCGGGGAGCATCTCCTCCGTGAGTTCCTCTAACACCTCTGTCGAGTCCACATCCGAGCGAGAATGTCCTTGCAGCGCTCTGATATACTTCTGGCCTTGGCAGTCTCCCAACTCGTGCCTGCCCTTGGCATTGCTACGAACGAACTCCATGAGGTCGCCTGCCGTGGCATTCTGGGCCTGCACTCGTGGCCAACTCAACACGTCCTCAAGTTTGGCCCAGCCTGCCGAAGTGACATTGATGTGCGGTCTATGTCCGTGCCTAAGGCTTGCTGCTAGAGCTTTGGATACCTCGAACGAAAAGCTGGTCTCTGGATTCGTTGAGGCAGTGCAGTAGTCGCCTAGGTCACCTGGTTGACCCTCCCATGCCACAATAGAGGAGCTCCTTGGTGTGACTGAGCTTTGGTCAGTGATCGCTACGATCTCGGTCGGGGGAGGAACTCCACCCTGTGAACCTGACGCTGGCTCTGGAGCTGGAAGGGGAGGAACTCCTCCTTCCTTTCCTCGATTTGACGAGGCCGCTTCACTAGGCAAATCATATCCCAAGGCTGTGAATGAGTCACGAGCCTGTCGAAGCGGAATCTCAAGCATTCCGCTCCACTCTCGGAGGTAATCACCTAAGGTGAGAGTCTCCTTTGTTGAGATTTGGAGCAGCAGCGCACGGATTTTCACTGCGTCAAAGGAGTATATTAGTTGATTTGTTTTCTTTCCACGTTTTTGCGATCCAGAGTGTGCAGCTTCCACCTCGATCATGGGCCGGAAGAATATGTGGCGAGGTCCTATCCTCACCATGCAACTGTAACCGGCAGCGAGATGCCTGTTTGAAAGCTTGTGGAGATACACTCCTGAGCGGGCCTCGAAGCTTCTTGTGCCGGAGAGATCCGGCGTCGAGGGTAGAAGTCTACCTGTGGCCAGTATCCCATGCAAACATTCCACGTGTGTGCCGTGGAACGCAACCTCGCTGTCCCCGGCAGGAAGAATGTTCGGTGAAGAATACTCAAATCTAAACCATCCCTTCTCCTCCGTTGTTGGGAAACCAAGCTTCGGCTGCAGGGGTTCATTGGCCAGGCCCCGGCGGGAAGCTAAGAAGGTCTCCAGGAGGGCATTGGCGATCTCAGGAGAAGGTCTCTCCGCCTGATTGAGGCCATCTCGTAGTTGCTGAGTCACTGTCACCATGATTCGGTGGTTGTTCAGGTCGGTGATGGAGCCGGCACAGTCTGTGATCAGACTGGGAAAAGGTGTATACCCCGCAGACTGGAGTACTTTGAAGGCCGCTTCCGTGCTTTCATCGGTGGCCGACTGTGAAGAGGGGTCCCCTAAGGGAGGATCTCCACTCTTGGCCTTTGCTGCAGGGGGAGTATCTCCACCCTCGCTTTGCCCAGTGCTTCTCTTTTTGGAAGGAGGAGGAGGGGGAGTGACTCCACCCTTTCCACTTCCCGGCTCTTCCAATCCACCGGTGCCTTTCGAGGCACCTTTGTGTGCTGGATAACTTTCGCCGTGAGCACGAGCAGAGCGCCTCCACTGACGCAAGAAATTTCGATATGTGACATGCGGAAGTTGTTCACGTATCCGTCGCTGGCAGAATTCCGCATACTCATCCTGAAACGAGGGATCCTGTGTTGACTCTGGTCGTGACATGATGCTGGCATTTGAGAGAAAGCTGCGATGTGTTGTCACAAGCTGATTTTAAGACACACAACAGATGGTTGGACGTCCGAGCACCAGGCCACCACGAAGAGGGACCTGCATCATTGGAGGTGAGTTGCAGAAGGCGCAGAGTTGCACTGGGCAGGTGATGTAATGTTTAAAAACCCCTGGGGAGAAACTCCACCAACTGTACACAGTGGCAAGGGAGAAACTCCTCTGTTTGTTGGGAGGAGTCTCCTCCTAAGGGAGTATCTCCACTAGGCATCTGGCTCAGGAAGAGGCTGCCATGACGCGATTGTACGACACCTCCCACATCGCTGTGGCCAAATTCAACTTGCGATCTTCGGCGAAGAACGTGGCCCTCAAAGTCTCCACCTCCTCCAGGTAGACTGTTCTGGAGTCGAGCGGTAAAAACTTACTCACGTATGATACTATGTGAGTCTCTCTCTCCAGAGAGTCGAGATCGTATCTGTGGAGAGAGATGCTTTCTGGGGCCACCAGTTCCCCAGAGGTGATGCGAGCGAGGGTGAGATATTCCAGGCCCTGCTCGATCAGAACTCTTCGCCGTCGGTACCTAATCTGCCCCCACTCATCGATGCCGGAGATGGAGTGGAGGTGTTTGATCACCTGCCGGACCCCGCTTTCCGGGAGTAGCTCCACGGAAAGGTTAAGGATCTCGTCCTTAGTGATGAGCCCGAGCGCCTTCACTCTCTCTCGCAGCTCTGTGAGCACCGCCCAGGGGAGTACCTCCACACCTTGGGACTTCTGGTGAAGGTAGTGGACGGCTGCTATCGTCGGAAGCAGCATCATGGCCAAGTGAGTTGGCGTCTGGTCGTACATGTTGAGAGAATGAGGAAATGCACTGCCTAACCTGAAAGCTTCTGAGCCTGAACGCTTTATCCAATAGAGGAACGTCTGTGTTGCTCTGCCAGAGATCCATGCTTCAGACGGTGCTCCGCGGGAGGGCCTCCTCGCAGCTCATCGAAGATACCACAGGCTCCTCACGAGTGTGTACAGGGTGGAAGTAACTCCTCTTCTTAGGGGTTTACTTCCGACTAAGCTCTTAGTACCAGGCCGGCCCACTCGTGGGGCAAATCCGATCAATGATCTAATCCTCAGGAAGAGATCAGGAGAGCAAATCGCGAATCTGACGAACCAACGGCGAGGGCTGAGTTCCCATTCGCTGAAAATCCGCATTTATGAGCGAAAAGGCGGTATTACCAATTAGGGACTGCAAGGGGGACTGTGCAATCCTGACAAACGAGAAGTCAATCTGTGAAACAGAGTTGCCTTGTTCGTGGGTGGCTGGTCTATGTACTCCCCAAGTGTTGGTTGCGACTAGCTGGTGCTCCGACAGTAGGGTCTGGAGATCCTTAGATCCGCGATGCCCGAGTCTGCAAGCCAGGATCGTGCATGGCCCTACGTGTTTGTTGTCGGTTTTGAGCGAGGAGTTAAAATCTCCTAGCACTAGGAGAGTGTTGCGATTGGGAACGGCTCGGATGGACTTACTTAGGGCGTGAAGGGTCTGCTTCCGGGTTTCCTTATTCTGAGCGACTGTCTCCTTTGAGCGCCAAACGTATTGATAGCAGCTGAAGACGTCCAGTGAGATGCCGTTGCTCGGCACCCGGACCTGGAGAACTCTTCCTGGAACAACCTCGTTGTAGCGAAGATCCTGTGACTTGCACAGCGTGGAGTGCACCATTATGAGGACCCCGGCTCCCTTCTCCCCTGTGGAACCAGAGCTGATCACGTGCCAGCCTGACTTGCTGAATTGCCAAGAGCCCCTCCAGTGTGTTTCCTGAATTGCTACCAGCTTCACATCCTGAAATGCAGCACTTTGCAGTACGGAGAGTAGCTCTTCCCAAACTGCTGTTGTGAGAGATCCTGCGTTCCAGGAAAGATAGCTGAGATTCTTATCTTCTGTAAATTTCGAGGGCCGAGTCCTTCTGCCGGAGTTGGTGGGCTTTACATGTGCCGGAGCGACTCCAAGCTCTGTTGACGACATCGTCCTTCCCTTGTAGACCGCACTACCTTCTAGCAGGGCTTTTCGTGCTGCCCTTTGATAAGAGCGTTTACCCTTCCCTTTAGGAACGGGCTGATGCTTGGTCGAACCACTAGGCTGTTTCGCAGCACTCATGTTGAGTACGGCTCCTGTCGGCTTCGCAATACCGACAACCCTCACCTCTGGGAGATGTTAGAGAGCTGTATATCTAATACTCCCTCCCGGACTTGGGACCGGGACTGCTCAGGCGCTGGCAGATGCCATGGCAAGAAAGGAAAAAGGCAACTGTACTAGCCTGACCTTTCCTGAGCCGAGGGGCTTAGCGACAGCAGCAGCGGCAGCAGCAACAACAACAACGAAGAGCAACAACAACGACGAAACAGCAGCGACAACAACCGCAGAACCAAACCAGAGCCGAAACCAGAACCACACCACAACCCCATCCACACCACATCATCACAATGGCGGCCACGAAGGAGTGAAATCATATTTGGACAAGCGGCGTCTTGCACATCACGAGAATGCAACTAATTGCAGTCAGTTTTCACACGCCCGGCGTGCGAGGGTGCTTTGAACAAGTACTAATTGGACGCAGTGCTGTGGAATCACAGAGCACCAACGTATCGACACCAGAAAAAGCTCAGATTTACTATTCAAGCTGTACGGCGCAGATCTGCCCAAATGTCAGCCGGAGCCTTAGGTTCCGAGGACTGGGCTGCGCACAACGAGATTAAGCTGGGTTTGTCGAGAGCTTTGTCCCTGGACTTGGCCTCAGGAACTTTGACAGCAATGCTTTTTGGGATGCCAAGAAACCGCAGCAACATCAAAACAATATCAACCTCGAACACAGTACGCTTCCCCTTCACAACGACATTGCCTTTGGCGCATTGAAGCTGTATGGTGAAACGCACGAGTGGGTCCAAAGACAGGGATACTGTTACAGAGTATTGGCCAATCTGGCCGCCTTGGATACCGAAAGGCGGAGCCGTTGGGTTTGAGCCCTTTGCGAATACATCAATGCCCATAGCAGAAACGCGCTGGTGCAGTTGTGCCTCACTACGAACCGGAGGTGTTGGGTCAAAAGCGATTGTTAGGTCAGCCTTCTGCGCTCTGGTAATGGGGGACATTTGGTCGCACCAATCTCGCAAACCTTTCAGCACATCATCACTTGTCTTCAACATGGTCCGATCCTCTGCGGTCTGTTGGGTCCATGGGTTGCCAGTGCAGCGGGGTTTCACGACAGGACTGCGAGAGCGGACCTGTTGATTAAGCTCCTGAAGCACTCTGTTGGGTCGTGTCCCTGTCATATTCACAGGCACATCACTATGATCATGGTCATGGTCATAGGCTTCTGTCAATTCCTTGGCCCGTGCTTCTGCCCAGACAGGGAGCTCATGGCTCGCTTTATGTGGATCCACATGAGGGTGCCGCTCCCAAGCTGATGTGATCACAGTTTGTGGCCACACAGCCTTGGGCTGGTAGCAAGCACTCACATGTCGGTCAAGGCACTCAGCTTGTTGTTTTTTGTAGCTTCCCTTATCCACATTGTCTTGCTCCCCAATTCCAGCCATCCACTCGAGGAGGGCTTCTTGGGCAGCATTGACGTACATAGCACGGTTTTTCAAGCGATGACGAGGGAAGGACTACACATGGACTAGAGACGATTTCCAAAGCAAAGGTAATGGCCCAGCATAAACCAAAATGTTCTCGCCAAGCATCATGACGATGTTCATCCATCAACGGGCACCAAGAAAGACATTCGTAATTTGCGTCCGGGATATGTATCCGCTCCAGGCGGCACAGACATAACAGAATGACCCTACAACCCGAGAACACAGCACCAACCACCAAAAAGTGGAGGCTTCACCGGAATACCTTATATTGAGGACGAGCATAGACGACGAAACAACGACGAACAACACAGCAACAACAACAACAACAGACAGAAACACAACGCGAAAGACAAACATCTACCGAAGAGCCAAGTCACCTCGTGGTTCCTTAGTCAGGGCGTGCGCACGAGACACAACAACCCCGAACACAACAGCGACAGTAAACAGCAACAGCAGAAAAACGGCAACAACAAGAACAGCAACACAGCCACCAAAAGGCCAAGGCTCGTCAGGTTCCTTAGTCAGGGCGTGCGCGAGAAGCACAACGACCACAAACACAGCAGCAACAACAACAAAGCCGAGGCTTCGCCAGCACCTAAGCCTTAGTCAGGGCGAGCGCAGGCAAGCGCACAAGACACAACAACGACGCGAAAGACAAACATCTACCGAAGAGCCACGGCACCTCATGGTTCCTTAGTCAGGGCGTGCGCACGAGACACAACAACCCCGAACACAACAGCGACAGTCAACAACAACAGAAGAAAAAAAGCAACAACAAGAACAGCAACACAGCCACCAAAAGGCCAAGGCTCGTCAGGTTCCTTAGTCAGGGCGTGCGCAAGAAACACAACGACCAGGAACATCCGAACAACAGCAAGAAACAAAGGTGAGAGACAGACTCAGGGCACGTGCGAACAACACAACAAGAACGAACAGCAACTCAGCAACAACAACAAAAAAACACAAAGCGACGACAGACATCTACCGAAAAGCCAAGACCCGTCAGGTTCCGGCAACAAAGGCTCCTTAGCCAGAGCTTCATCAATAGTCAAAACATCATCAAAAACATCGACAACACCCACGTCAAAGGACTCCTGAAGCCCTTCGGCGAACCCGGTTGACACCACTCACTGCAGTGGCCCGAGAACGTCTCAGGTAACTTCAGGCTTGAGCAAGGACAGACCGCATCATCATCGTCATCATCCGACACCTAAAGCCCATCGGCGAACCCGGTTGAAACCACTCACTACAGTGGCCCGAGAACGCCTCAGGTAACTTCAGGTTGAGCAAGGACAGACCACATCATCATCATCATCATCAACATCATCATCCGACGCCTACAGCCCATCGGCGAACCCGGTTGATACCACTCACTCCAGTGGCCCGAGAACGCCTCAGGTAACTCCAGGCTTGAGACAGGACAGATTATGGTTTAGGACCATGAGCCGGTTTAGCAGGAGGAGTTGCGCCTTTGCGTTGTTTGGTTGGCTTTTCTGGTCTGGTGGAATTCCATGGACTGCAATCCCATATGTTATGATGCCAATCATATCCCTGTTTCCTATCTTCGTGCAGAAATGCCACTCATATGGGTAGTTGTCAAAATTAAGGTCTCTTTTTGGGCATGGACCGAAAAAGGGACCATAATTTTGACAACCACCCGTCTGCAGGCAGATTGTGTAAATCCCAGAAGCACATCCAGGCACCCGCTGACAAACATTCGCCGGACATATTCGTGTCGTGGTCGCACGCACATGGGGCGTAACTGTAACAGTGAACCTTAACAGTGTAACCTTGATCCTCACAGCCGAAACACCGTTGGGTTGCCGGGGCCTTCGTGACCTCTTTCAGCTCTTGCGCTCTCGCAATATGTCTCATATACGTGATAATTCGCACATGCATGCCGGGCTGCCAGCGAAAGTGAAGACTTCGCCTTGCAAAACCCAGAAGACGTTCGGAGTATGATTCTTTGAGAGTTGTTGTGACCACTGCTGGCAGCCTTGTCACAGGTGGCCTCTCTGCGAATGTAGAGGTCATAAAGGCCACAACCCCTGCAGTGCAGCCCCAGTATCGTCTCTCGTCATCTTCGAGTAACTAGCAAATGATATCCTTGCATCTCTTGAGCGTAGCAGACTGGGGCTTGCCCACTGTAGGCTCAGATCGACTGCGGGCCTATCCAGCTTTGCACTCATACTCAACCAGCCAAGCTGGTTCATCAGCTCCAAGCCCGTCAAACGATTCTGTTGCAGGAACCGACCTCGTGGGCATCCGATGCTGGTACAACATGCAGTGTGCCCCAAAAAATCATCCGGCAGAGCAAAAGATGTAGACGAGGTGCCGATGAAACTCCTGTGACTCCGGATGACTCTGGCCACTCTGGCTGCTGGAGTCGACCATCCTCGACTGCTACGATGCACGGCCTATCTTCTTCGTAATCATGTTCCCTTTGCTGGGCCTAATGTGGAAACCCCGCCGAAGTGTGTTTGTGTGAGCCGGCAAACCTGAGCACTATCTTGTTTTGACGCATCGGCGGGTAGCACTCAAAAGATTATCCAAGATTGTGCAAGCTCATGATAGGTTCACCCTCGCAGTCGCACAGGGACAGCCGGATCTTTGAACAGCGACTCCAGCCCAAGACCAGTGTGTATTTTCTCATGAGCAGCCAGCTTCACGACCCGGAGCAGCACTTGAATGGCTGTGTAGAGCTCGTCAGATCGCAGTATCCTAGTGCCAAAAGCCCAAGACATCCGTGAGGCGGCTGTAAACCTCAAGTGAGCAGCTGTTCGAAGGACCTCGAAAAAGCATGCAGTTTGTCAACTGCGAGTTGCCCCAACCACGCTCAGGGTTTGTCACACACCAACGTCAGGACCACAGGGCATGTGGGATTCGCGCTCTTAGTGTTCTGCGCCAGTCTGTTAGTATGAAACGGCTGACACATCCCAGCGGCAGTAACGAGAAGCGCTTAAAGTGTCACTTGCAGGGCTCTAACTAGCTCACAGCCTCGCACAGGTGGGACCCCCAGGACACGGGCGTGACACGAGAGATGGACTCGCAGTGAAAAGCACAGCTCCTGGCCGCGCTGCGATGCTGTGCGTAGGAGAGAGCAGACGCTGCCCTAAGTTGCAGGAGCCTCCGGAGCCTCCGCCTCCGCTCCCGTCGAGTCCATGGTGTCTGGACCCCAGACTAAACAGACGCTGGGGGGGGGGGGGACATTCATTACATGTGCTTAGATGTGCAGCTCGATTCTCCGTGCCGAAACTCCCCAGGCTTGTTGAGATTATCTTCAAGGGCAAGAAGAAAGCGGCAAAGCACAAGGCGACAGCACAGGAGCATGCAAGAGCCGTGGGCCGTGGAGGGAGGCACGGAGGCACGGTCGCCTGGGCATTCGATTGTCCAGGCCTCCACGAAGATCTCGGAGCTGCAAAGCTTGTGCGCCCAGAAGTGAGCGGCGGATGGAAGGCCTTGTTCTTCCCACCTTGAGCTGTAGACTCCCCTAGACCTGGCTTTTTATCAGGCGACTTGGCTTCTCTGAACTTCAGACCCCGGGCCCCGGGAAGTCGAAGCCGTCCATACCCACGCGACGAGCAGGTACGAGCAGCGTATCCGGGCAGCGGATACTAAGCTCGGAGCACTTCGTGCTGAGGGCTGAGCGGAGCAGGGTGACCTCGGCTGCCGTAGTAGATGCATGGTCATGCTTGCCCCTATAAGGCGGGGCTAAGGAGTGTGCAGAGGGTTTGGAGCATCCCCGCTACAAACGTATCCTCGCATGTGCATGGGAGTCACCCTGATGATCGTAGAGGGACCACACTCTTGCTGTACTCTTCTGACCGAAGCCGTCCCAGGTCTGCGATGAGAATGGCGTGGAGCAGGGAAGCGAGGCCTTGGCGCACGATTATGTCAACAGAGAGTCCCAAAACAGCGAAAAAGAAGAGATCGCGAAATGACACCCATGCCACCCCAAAAACGACCTTTGAAACCACCAGGACCACAGGGATCCCAGGACGGAAGGACGACCACATCTAGCAGCAGTCCCTGAGTCTGGCCATGCCGACGGGTGAACGATTTCAACCGCTCCTTAACTCCACCGAAAACTGCGACTACAGGCGGCGTCAATTGGACGCAGTCCATGCGGCTTCTTTAGAGATTAGTTGGTTCCTGCCATCTGCCATCCCCAGCATCGTTCTCAAGGGGTTCATCGCTGCCTGGTCTGTGATGTGCATGATGTTTAAGATGGATACTGCAATGTCGGATGATGGCTCCGTTATCTTCGCCGTCTCAAATTATGCCAAAGCTGCATGACCACCACGACAACACAACAATCACGACCACCATGACAACCACGACTACCCTGACGAGCATGGCGACCAGGACCACCACAACGACCAACGCCAACGAACCCCACCCCATCCCACCCCACAATGTGCGCGTGACTGTGGCAGCGGTGCGACTTGGGACACACACACGCGGCCCTGTGACGAGGGAGCACGAGTCCCATCCAAAAATGTCGGCGGGACTGGCTGGAGCATGCTTGAGGACAGTGTCGGCACCAATTTGGACTGCGTTCATACTTTGGCGCTGCAAGGACTTTCGGGGCTTCGAGCGCCTCCAAGGCAAAAGCTATGCACCGGGGTTTCCGTTCAAAGACACGCAGACAACGGCGGGAGCACGGAAGGCCACTTCTTCGACACAATGAACCGCGTGTAGGGAGGACTGGGAGGACGGGCTCCTGCACAATTGAACCAAAACTGCTTTACTCCGAGCGTAGGCAATTGACGTGACCGCGGGGAGCCATCGGTAAAGCAAAGCTCACTTACGTGCTTGAAGCGGTTGGAGTGATCTGGCAAAGCATCACAGACGGGCAGATGGAAAGACAAATCATTCATCATCGCAAGTTGTTCAGACATTGGTTCATGGTTGTTTCATTCCTTGTCTTCTTCTGTTGCCCTATCATCAGATCATGCTACCCGGTCTTGACGAAGCTGGCGTGGTCTAGAGTCTAG